ATTTTTGAAACAATTTCATTCCCACGATAGTGCATGCAGAGTTAGTGAATAGAGGTCAATATATATTCAGAGTTTATTAATTTTGCATCATATAATAATATTTCTTAACATAAAAATAAATAGAGTAAAATATAACTACTTTTAGACAAAAATAAAAATAATTAAAACTGTACATATATTATGTATTTTTAAACATATTTTTTAAAATAAGAAATGGACTAAGTAAAATATAAGTAATTCGCTTGATTATAGTTAAATGAAAAGATAAATAAAAATTTCAATGCGAATCTAGTGCTTGCACCGCTCTACTTTCAATCGCAGTATCAGGAAATATAATTGTGACTTTGAATTTGACGCGATTCTAAGCATTCAGTTGCGAAACAACTTTTTTGCGGACTCGAAATTTTTTTCATATGAGGAAAAGATTTTTTTGCTCGGATATATAGAGACAAAAATGGAAAGCAGGGTACATGCTTCAAACAATTAAATCTCATCAGCAATGGCATTCAATAATTTACAAAATAGCTGCAAATTTATCTTTAGATTTATCTTACAGATTTTTTTCGTAATTCTGTATTTTGTATGTAATTCAGTCATTTTGTTACTGTAACCAACTTATCAATATTTTCTAATTTAACGTCAACCATATAAATATCACCATTTCATGTACATTGCTTCTCGACTTCCCGTTTCCATATTCGCTAGTACTTAGCTGTTACACTTTCGCATGAAACTACTTGTAGAAGGCAGATTTAATCCAATTAAATGTACTAGATTATTTTTTAAGAAAAATATTAATCTAAATTATATTTTTCGCATCTCGGCATGTGATCATCCACGGATGTTTGTATAGACTGTTTAAAGATAGAATCATAAACCTAGTTGTCAAATGCGATTTTGATTATGGATATAACTATGCAAATGCTCATCGTTCTCTGCTCACCACTCGTATCACTTACATGCAAGTTAATTGTATCAATTCACATAGCGTAACTATTTAAAAAAAGAATAAAATTTTCTATAACTTTTGATAGAACTACATTTTTTGTGCATATGATAGAATTATACTCTTTAAGTACAAATAAGAATACACATAAAATAAAAGTACTCATTCGAAACTGAACCAAAAACCGAGTAACGTTGTTTTTGACAGAACAAAAACCGGAACTGAACTGATATATATGCAGTAGAACCTCTATATAACGAACCTCGATATTGCGAATTTTTCTATAAAGCGAACTTTTTCCTGCAACCTTGAACATTTCACGATTTTCTTCGTAAAATAACCTCTCTACAGCGAAGTGCATTTTCTATATAAAGAACTTTTTTTTGTGATTCAATTTTTTTCTCTCCCTATTTTAAAAGTATTTCTGAACATTTCAAGTTTTTCTCTGTTTAACACATTTTATGGTGGTCATAAATCTTCAAATAGTTTTATTAGATCCTAACTCGCCGAGAGAAATAGAGTTTTGAACTTTTTTTCAAAAAAGTGCAACCTTTAACCCCCATTGTCCAGTTCACTAGAAACATCTTCGATATCCCCTTTCACACTCAGTGGGATTGTCCCGTGTCCCAGTTATAAAATGATATATGTTTAATATTACTTGTAAGCTTTAAATTAGAAAATGAAATTAAATTAGAAATTCATTAATTTTAAAATTATTTTCTTAGTATTGAAAATACAGTACTACATTCAACATTGATTTTTTCTTGTTTTCCTTGAAGTTTTTCTTCTTTTCTTTCTTTTTTTTTGTTGGGTAAAATATATAAAGAAACATATATTAATTTTAAAAAAGGTGTGAATAATTGTTTTTTTTTAATATATAGTGTTTATAAATTTGAAATTTGTTTTATGCGGTTTATAAAGTATATTCAAAGATGAACCTCTCTCTAACGAATATTCCATAAAACGAACTTTTTTCCAGGATTTAGCGACTTCGTTACATAGAAGTCCGACTGCATTTAGTTGAACTAGAATGAGAAAAAAGTTACGGTTCAAAGTCTTGAAATAAACCAAGTCCGATCGAATTTGGAAATTATTGTTGACTCTATGATGTTATTGCCATTTCAAAACTAAGTAGTAATAGAGGCAAACGCTGCGTAAAGGCTTCGAAAGATAATTTTGTTTCAGGAAAACCCACACTCACTGAAAAGATAATTGTCACACATATTCGGAATTACGTTAAGGCATAATTTATTCGCTTTGTCCCAAATTATTCTATGTGACCACACGTAAGTGACCACACGTGTCAAAGCATGCGGCGCTATAATCAATACACTTTAATCTCACTGAACATGAACTACGTATTGCGAAACAGATTACGGTATAATCGAAAATGAGTATTTCCTTGACTGGAGGTTTATCTCCTGAATTTAAATGGGTTCATATCACCAGCCCTGAATGCAGATAGGCATGCACACAAACAAAAACAAAACAAACTCGCTGCCAATTTCATCCCGGTAGACTGAATTTGTTTTATACTCGAAAGGAACTTCTAATTGAATCTCGTTTATTTATACTTAATTGATTTCTAAAAAAAAAGTTTTTTTTCTACTTTATCTTTCCAGGAAAGGCACTTTCACCTGTGAGGGTAGTTACTTAAGCGGGTATCGATTGAACTCTAGAAATGACGTACGTCGTCGATTTTTCTGAGAAAACCTTTTTGATCCATCGAGTGGAAGTGGATTTTCACGGCTTCTTTTGTTCTCGCTTTCACGAC